TCAAATGCGGTAACCTGTCCACTGCATCACGTTGTACCGCTAAGCTTTCCCCACAGACCCATAAATTAAGGCACATGAATTGCTTGTTTCTTACCTAGTAGGATTGAATACCATATCTGTCTGACCAAGAGCGAAATCAACCTCTGGGAGCCTCTAAGTCATTATGATGCAATCTTTGTGCTAGCTGGATGGCCTTCTTACATAGGGTGTTCTCCACTATGGGGAACCCTCCGTGTTTTTCCCTCATTGCAGTAAGCCAAACTAAGGTTGCCTTATTCACTGTCTTGAACTTTTCGTTGGTTTTCAGGTGACATCTTTCCTCGGATGCTGCAGCGTTCGAAAATTCCCCGATAGTCGTTCGATGGGATACAACATTGTAAACAGTTTTTCGTGAAATTCCAAGTGATTTGGCTACGGAGCGATGAGTTGCATCTGGCTGTTTCAGCATTTCCAACACATTCTGCTTCTTTCTGATCGATAGGCGCTTGCACATTTTGATGTCAAATGACAGGCTCCGATCGCTTACATTGGTGTAACTTCCTCGCAAGGATTATACAATCAGTGAACAGTGACATGAACGCGTCACACTAGGTGCAACGCCATTGGTTGGGTGCGACATTTCAAGGTGGATGGTCAATGGTCATCCCGAACATCGGTCAACGACCAAGTGAGTAGGTATCACGAACTGCGACATATTGCGGGGTTCGACGTTGCATAGCATACGGTTGGTTTGGGTTTTCTAAAAAGTGGGAAGATATTGGAAAATGCGACCTCTTAGGGGTAAGACATAGCAGGAGATTGACTGTATTCGCTTCATACATACCGAAAGGTGGATACTGAGCAGCCACATAGTCAACCAACAATTTACGATATGAGTGAATTAAGTTCCGAAGCGATGCATTCTGGAGTGACAAGAAATCGGGCAAACCGAGTAGAACAAAGTGAGAACAAGGGATAAAAATAGTCGGTGGAGAAGAACACACGTGTATAAACGACCAAGTACTAGCAGAACATGGCCACTACACAAGCACCGACGATGTCACCTCGGCTGGTGATGAAACATTTACAAACAAATTACCAATTACTTGGCGAACGGGCGAAATGGAACAATCTGCATCGTTCAGTATCGATCACACATACGTTTTTGACGAATTTCCAACACTTTATTTCAATTCTTCCGCACAAAAGGAGTCTGATTCAAAGTTAGTCAAACTTTCAAATACAATACAATACAATAGGATAATTCAAGTAACAATGAACCAATGACGCCCGGGAAACTCACCGTTGGGCTAGAATACGTCGAGACAGTAGATAGGTTTTCAAATCGCCCAGAAGCATCAGTTCCATGACCAGATATAAATTGTCTTTCGACCCGAGGGAGACCCCGATCAATCGGACCACATTGCCATGTTTCAACGAACGCATCAGTTTGGCCTCAGACAGAAAATCCGTTTTGCCCTCGTACGTGGCTTTCACATTGGTCACTTTCACTGCGACCGCTTCCCAGTTCCCATTGGTTTTGGCCTCTCCACCGAATACCAGACCGAATGCACCCTGACCGATTTGACGATTTAACACGATCCGATCAAGCGGGATCTGGGATGTGCGAGTTTGAACGGAATATGAAGAAAAAGAGGAGCACAAGTCATGAGTTATCCGAATCATGCACATTCTAGGTGAGGGAAATTAGAACAGTGAAACCTGAAAGTTCAAATGGTTGTCTGGCTGATCGACGTCCTATGTTGAAATTGTGAACTGTTCAGTAACCTGGGTGGGATACGAATCCACGCACGGACGCCGTGTACGCTTTTGCACAGAGCACGGTCTAACAGCTGAGCTACACGGATGGGTGATTTGAACGTGAAATGATCGGTGCTATCGGTGTGGCCTCGTAGCTCTCAGCTGGTAGAGCGTGCACTTTACAAAAGCGTAGGCGGCGTTCACGCGATGGTTTGAATCCCACCGAGGCTATTGAACTTTTCACAATTTCAACATAAAACCTAAAAAAGTCCACGTAACAAAATACCAATTCAGATCAGTAGGGGTCATTGTAGCACTACAGACTGTTTTTTAAGAAATACAGGTTAGTGTGACGAACAATAGAACACAGAATTACTGTTCGCATGTGGGAACAGACAACAGCATCAACAAAAAACAACAACAGAACCGGAAAATTTAAATAGCGAACTACACGATTTTTCCATATGATAGACGTATTGATTTTGAATCAGACTTAAGAAAAGTTGGATGACAATGACCGGATGCGAACTTCGGACATTACCACCCGACTCCAACGACTCAGATTACTTGACCGACAACAACAGCTTTCCTAGAATCATACCCACTGTGCAATTTACCATATGTATGTTATTCTGAGCAGGATATTGCTGTTACAACCAAATGTACCGAGTTCCCGAGCAAATCGAAACTGCTTTATGCACAGTACACAGTACCTGGTGAACAAAAGTGCTGATGGTTGTCACACACACACACCATTGGTCGAGTTAGATTATTAGAAAGTCATTCGAGTTCATATACCCAACTGGACAGACAATGTCCAGTAACCGGATGTCGCCAAAGGGGTCAACTTTCTCAACGTGCGCCGTTTATTGATGCAGGTAGCCAACGGGGATGGAGAGAAGTTCAGTTTCAGTTTGAACAAACATTAACCATGCACTTTCGTGGGGCCGGTTGTGATTTTGGTGTTTTTTGATTACCCATTTGGATGAAGTAGTAGGAGAAAGACAAGAAAGTTGATTGAACAGTAGAATAGAAAATGGAGGGTAGTCAAGGGTGATCTACTTAAAATGAGGATAAGAAAGTTCTCAGTAACAGAGGTCGCGTTAGATTCTCTCTACATTCACAGAATTTCTCTCTCAAACAAACGACCTAGCCAATGGCTTGAATATGTGCACTGTTTTGTCAAACTTCTGAACTGCTAAGAGCATAGTGAGGAATAAGTATTGAACACAACGGTTTGTTCTTCACCGTTCGGTAGTAAAAATCCAATAACATTCGAGATGTGTAATGTCTGTACCAATGCGTTTTGTTTGATAGGTTATCCTAGATTACACAAAAAAACGGAAACAAAAGAAAAAAAAATAAGACACAGTGATACTACTTACATCCAAATCGGCCAATTCGGCACAGAGTTCCTCAAACGGTTTACGAGTCAACTGTTCCGCTTCGCGTAATTTACGTCGATAATGCAAACTCAACAGAATCACTGGTATGAAAAACACAGCACAGACAATCACCGCGACAAACACTGTGGCCCCGGTACAACCCATGCGCAATGTGTCACTGAGAAAGTACAGCGCACAGACCTCGTTCGTGACCGAGCCGTCGTGTGGTGGATGCCCGAGCACGTTCCAGTCCACACGATCCAATTGTCTCTCGTCCATACGTCGCAGAAACTCTTCGTACATGGTCAGATAATCCTCGTTTTTGGCGGACGATTCTTTGGGAAAATCGCACGCGGCCTCGGTTCCATTTAGATCACGGGAAGTTTTGGTGAACCAGAGAAACAGAGGAACCGTCGTGTGATCTTGACGTTGTTTGAGTAGCCAGTAGTCAGCCACACGTTCGTTCAGTTTGTTGAAACGGAGCTGCGAGCTCAAAGGATCCCCGGTTGCACTGACACCGTAGAATTCACCGGCCCGCTGGAAACCGAAATCGCCGAATCCGTGCACTTCTGCGTTTGCATTCAAATCATCCCGTTTGGATGACTGCGACGGGTTGCTCTCGCCCAAACGCATCCGATAGGCGAAATTCGTACGGGACACGTGATTGCGGAAAGCTTCAGCGACTGCGGGTTGGTCTAGTGCGGACACAGCTGAGGGGTTGTCTTTGAGCAGTTGAACCATGGCACTGGCAAGTAGAATCACGGCCTCTTCAGTATAAATTGAATAGAAACGCATTGGATCATGAAGCACGGATTTTTGTCGGACTGCTGGTTTCGAATCCGTACGGTTGGTCCGGTTCGTCGAGCCAGTACGGCGACCATTCGAGCCAGATGTTGATCCACTGGGTTCAGGAGCCGAGCGACGCGATCGCTTTAGCGACTCTGATTTCGGCGCCAGGGTGGTTGAGTTGATTTGCGATGTATTTTGTTTGCGTTTGGACGAATTTTTCGCCTCGTTTGAGGCCGGTGATCGTTCTTTCTCAGAGCTCGGCTGGGAGCTGTGCAAAGGCATCAAGCTGTGCAAACCACGTCCCATGAGAAATTGATGACCCACAGTGAATGTCCACGAGGTGATATTGAGCATCTGTTCCGGTGTGCAATAGGTGAACTCTTGTGTGATTGGGGATAGCCACCAACGATCGGCAAGCCATGGATTGAGAAACCAGACGTAACCGGCACCGAAATGCATGCCCTGATGATAGGCTGCACACAAAGTCAAATACGTGCCACGAACGCCGTACTCGACTACGAAAATACGACTATTTCGTTGCTTCAATTTCTTCAGTGTCTGAAATAATGGAAATAAAGAGTGAAGCCCAGTGCATGTGTTTGTGAAAACGAGCGTATAAAGCAACACATTTTGCGTAACAGTTCAGTTCAGCACATGCATTAGGGGAAAGATAAGAAAATTGAAAGGCAGAATCATCATTATGGCTGCAAAGAAATTGAGAAGATACACGAACGCCACTATTTACGACACTCAGCCATATCACTCAGTGTCTGTAACCATCGGTTACGATCATCCCGAGGTCCCCAGCCAGGCAGCCTAATGCGACTTATGTGGCCGAGTGTCCTGGTCTTATTCTGATAATCCTTCGCTTTTTTTCCGCCCATTACCTGCCTCGATCTACATTACGCCCGGCAGTAACCTATTTGGTGACAGGCGTAACACATGCGCCCAAGCAACGTAATCTAGTTGTAAACTGACTGTCACCAACTGAAGCATTACTCATTGGACGATGGTTTAATCTTCCTTGAGTGTAATTAGCAGGCTGAATCTGATCTATTTAATGAGGAATCAAACGAATGCTCCAACGGGAAGAGCACAGATCCCAAACCCAACAATACAAATGTTTCCCCGAATGGATGCTACTGTCCCGAGTTCGTTTCGGAATGCCTTCACAGGCTGTTGGTTAGCAAAATCTCGCGTGAGAAGTTTTGACTGAAGTGAGCGAGCAGATTGATAAGTCACTATCAACTACTTTGTCTAGGGTAGTTGAAAACCCATTACTGCTGGGTTTGTAGTCAGTGACCCTACCATATATGTCAGAACACAGCCTGAAGGACGTGTGCACCAACCAATGAGACAACAGTTCGAGTGGATAGTGAATTTGAGGCCCCGCCAAATTGCCTTTAACATTTTTTGCCCAGAGCGAGGGTCATCAGGTCAATCTCTTACTCTGACTTAGGTGTCTGAGTAGCGAAATGATATCAACACAGTCGTTCCGAGGATTACCACTGGATGTGTAGATAACAACTTAAGCAAGCGGACAAATACGGTGAATTAGTACGGTCGCAAATAACTTGAGCAATACAGAGGTACAACATATGCGGCGGTGATTTTCCCATCTGTACACACCTGTAGTTTGTGAAGAACACAAATCGCTGAACTGGAATGGGCTGAGTGCAATTTTTGTGTCAAAACGATTTACAGGATCAACGAATGAAATACTGGTCGATAATTATTAGGCCTGTCAATACTGGTAAGGTTGACCAGTCTCACGTGACATCCGATGCGAGTGAGTTGAAACATGATTTGAACACGCATCACAGTAAGGATAAATATGCAGGCGACAAACGAATAGCAGCAGACCATAGCTGGAGCGAAAACGAACCAAAGCAGTCAATTATAGCGCTGTTAGCCGCGCTCACAGGAAGCGATGAATCACGCCGACAATTAGAATAGAAAAATAAAAATGTTTAACCGGTTCGGAATATATGAAAAAAGCGCACCCATAGTCCGTGAATACCAATATATAGTTCACACTCATCCGGGGTCAGAGTGAATGTGAGACAGATACAGAAAATAGCTAAAATTGAGCTGGATACGGTGGCACGAGGTTCAGACATGGATTAATTTTTCTAGAATAAATTTGATCTCATTCGGTCCGTCATTAAATTCTTAGGCAATAGAAAATAGTATTGAACTCACACGATTGTCACATTGTCACCTAGCTTACAAAACACAGTCAGTGAGTGACAGTGAGCCGTTCTTCAATGAATCAACTCACTGATATCGGGGTTGAGGAATCTGAATGTGTGGAAGCTACGGACATAAGACCATCAACCACTGTCGAATACAGAGAATGTTACGAAGACCAGAATGTGACTTTCGTGATATCAGATTCAGGAGTTGTTTGATCTTCTTTGTCATCGTATTCTGTCCTTCAGCTTCTGAAAGCCTCAGTAAAGTCGGGAGTTGGTGTCTTGGGTTGTGACGGGCCACCCCTCCCTTGCACCTCGCCAAATGCTCCCATTCGATCAAGCGTCTCAAATAGCCTCTGCTGAGGAAGCCCCAATCACTGTCTTTCCGTGCCGGTGCTTTACCGCCAAAGCGAGAGGACGAAAAGCCAATAGCAGGGATTATAACCGGAGATTTGGCTACAAACCCAGATTCCAAACCAACCTAAAGGAGACGTACGAACCACACATACACACACATCTTCTTGGTTGTGGCAGTGGCCACCGGCTCAGTTGAACATCGAGGTATATTTGGCACCTTGGATGTTTTACCCCGTCAAAAGGGCGCATGATCCGATGAACTGGACACTGGCTGCCGATAATCTGTGGTTTTCAAACAGCGCCCCACTGCCTTGCTGATCAGGCTTTGGTAAGCTGAAGGCTCCGGTTGTGAATTCCCCAGACAAATCATGAACCTGTTTTCTTTTGATAAAAATCATTGTACCGTGATTTGTTTGGTACGAAGTCTGAACTGAAACGTATGTGAAAATATAAATATAAATATATATATATAATATATAATATATATATATATATATATATATATATATATATACATATATAATATACTTTTCATGGCCGTGAAGTGGTACAGGGTAGAATGGAACTCAGAACAGAGACGGAGATGGACACTTAAACACGAGACACATGATAGAACGATTAAAACAGACAGGACATACGTGTTTCGAGCCTTCGTAGCTCAGTTGATCCTCTTGCATCTCAATATCGGCAATAATCTCGATTCCTTTGGCTTGAAACAGACGTGGATTGAAAAAGTGATCGACTTTACGAAATACGACCATACGTTTCCAGCCCCAGCTTAGAAACAGCCGAACCAAGATGCAACTATGAACGTGGAAGGTGAAATAGAAAAAAATAAATTGCAAAGGTAGACATACGACGCACAGTTCCAAATATGAATGGATGTTTATTCACAATGTGCAATTTAACTACTGAAATGAAGTCAATAGTTGAGTTATGTTTGGATAATTAACGACAAGATAGCAATGGGCTACTTACTTGGCCTCAGTTAATGAAGGCACAGTTCGGAAGAAATAGGAGTAGTGCTGCTGACCGAGAAATCGTGCGGTGGCAACGGTTGGACTGACAATCAACTTTTTTCGGAAATTGGCCAACTCAACCACAGCCTCAATAGAGTCAGAGCAAAGCGCGGCTGAATGAATAGATCGATATGGGCGTGGAGAAATTCAGTGAAGAGCAATTTAAACCCACCATTCAAATTGCATAATTGATTAATTAATTAAATAATTATTAGTTCTATGATCATTATTATACAAAAAAAGAATTGCAAAAGTAAATAATCTACACACAACGAACGTGCCATTTGGTTTTCATATAATAAAAATAATATCGTTGATTTGAACTGACTATCCTTCGAACTTCACCTTCACGCACAATCCTCAGCTCATCGATTCAATCAAAAGATAATCCGTTTAAATCCGTCAATATCAATTATCCCACACCACTACTCACAAGTAACTGTGAGTTAAATGAGAAAACTATATGATTATTTAAAGTTACTGGATAGTTGAGATTAATTGAGGTAGATAGTTTGAAGTGCCCACACCCACTCACGAAATGACAATGGCAATAAAAGAAGCGGTTCGATTAGAAAAAGAACAAAGCCATTTTCGTGTCGTGTCAGAACAAGAAAAAAATTCAGTGTAATACAGTGTTTGTGGTGGTGGTGTTGGGCTAGACGAAAAAGGAAAACGGGCAACACGAATCGCGGGATTTCAATCTCGCAGTGTCTCCGGATGTATGTGTGTGCTCGTGGTGTTGTATCAAAACACCATGACAATTAACTGGATCAGAGAGACAGAGAGTTCGAGCGGGTTAGCAGTGATTTGGATTCAATACACGACAAAAGATAGATGAGTGGGTATTAATCCTTTAAATGGTTGAAGAGATAGATCATGCATGCAGACCAGGGGAAACAGACGAAAATAGGCAGTTTGGTTTTTACACACACAAACACACACACACAATTGTTAGTACTGTCCGGGCGAAATCTCACAAACACTTGTTAATCGATTTGGAACAGCGTGAATGAACTGCTTCCACCCACCATGGGATACGAGCAAGTGCCAGAGAGAAAGGGGAGTTTGTGGAATCACCTACCTAATCGACACGTGTTGGGTGTTCAAACCAGAATTGGATCAGGAGAAAAAAATTAGGATCGCGTGATTTCACGGAACATTGCATTGGAAAGGAGACAGGGATGGATAGTGATTGCGGTTGGAACAGACAGGGAGAGGAAGCTATCAGATGGATGAACAAACAATTTTGTCGAATCAGAAGGGAACAAAATTGATGAGAGCACGGTTTTGTGAGTAACCGATGGCTTCAAATGATCATCGTTTTGGTTAGCACTTAAGGCGCATAAATAAAAACCTCCGGGGGGGGGAGAGTTGACCGTGAACCAAAACGACAGTTCTTGTCGCTGAGGTCCTTTTGATTATGAAACAAATCCCTTAGCGATTAAGCGAAATGTACCGACAGGCAGCCTCCTGTGACGAAACATCTATTCAAAAAGATTATTTTACCATGCAGAGGAATAGTTAATTATTGATCGTTAAAATAAATTTGGGTGGTATTGGTGCAGAGGTTTAGTCGCTGCCATCAACTTGCTTCGAAGTCTATAGTCCGAGGTTTGAGCCCCAACACCACCATCAAACTTTGGTGGTAGCTTTGCTGCCACCCGGTTCAATACCACGCCTAACCTGGTGGGGCCGTATGTGGTTAACTACTCCAGGTCCCGGGGCTTAGGTTACCGGTTTCCAAGACTGAACAGTACGTTTTCGTGGCTATGGGGTTTACCCCGTCTTCGGTTCATCATACAAGTGTGCAATAAAAAGAAATACCGTCAACCACGAATTTCGATTAACTGATACAATAGGAGCAACCATTAGTTTTTGCATAATTAAGCTTGAAACGGCGTGTATAACCGAATCAACCATGTTCGCCCGATCCTGACAACCGAACGACATCGCACCGACTGGAGTGAGAAATAAGCATTCCAGACCACTACACACAAACACACACACTTCACAGACGGATTGAAAAACAGAAGCACAAACTACTCACNCGAAAGTAATCACTGAGTACCAGACCGGGAATACAGGATAAATTGCGCACGTCCAGTCGTAACGCGTATTCCGTGTTGAGAAAATAGTCCGGATCACGATTCACAAAATTTACTGCGCTTTCCGCAACTGGTTTGTCCACGCACAGATTACCAACATGCGCGCGC